GGGTAAGAACCCTAACCATTCTGGATATCTTTCCCCATCTGTCGAAAGTGAGAGTATTGCACTGAGTGACTTTGACAATCCCTGCCAGTACTAGATCTGTGATTCCAACTTGTTTTTAACCCTGAGCCTCAGCTCTCTTATAGGTTGGACCAGAGGTGGAGAACCTTTGGCCTTGAGGCCACAAGTGGCCTTGGGTGTGGCCCTTTGACGGAATTCAAACTTCAAAGAACAAATACCCTTAATAAAAGGATTTGTTCTGTAAAACTTGGACTCAGTCAAAAGACCACACCCAAGGACCTAGAAGCTCACTTGTGGCCTGAAGGCTGCAGGTTCCCCATCCCTGAGTTAGACTATATAAGCTATAAGTCCATTTTAGATCTAAATCTCATAAGTCAAGTCAATAAGCATATAAGTGCCAGGCATTGTGATAAGAGCTATGGATTTAAAAAAAAAAGGCAAAAAATAGTTACTACTCTTAAGGAGCTCAAAGTCTGAATTTCATAATGCAAAGTATTTTCTTTAAAAACATTTTTTTTAATCAGCAAAAATCTGCCTTCTCTCCCTCTCTTCATCTCCATTAAGAACAAAAGAAAAAGAAAACCTTTGTTGCAAACATGTATAATCAAGCAAAACTAATTTCTTCACTGGCTATGTTAAAAAAAGCCTCATTCTTCAGTCTGAATCCTTCAATTCTCTATCAAGAGGTGGTAACATGTTTCATCATTAGTCTCTGGAATCATGGTTGGTAATTACTGGTCAGAGTACCTACATTTGTCTTTACAATATTGTTGTCGTTGTATAAATTGTTTTCCTGGTTCTATTCACTTTACTCTGCATTAGTTCATATAATTCTTCCCACATTTCTCTTAAACCATTCTCTTCATTATTTCTTATAGCACAAAAGTATTCCACCATACTTTTACATCACACCATAATTTGTTCAACCATTCTCCAATGGGTAAGTACGCCTCAGATTGCCATTCTTTGCAATTTCAAAAAAGAGCTATAAATATTTTTGTACATCCTTAGAGGGTTTTCTTTTTTAGTACTAATCCTTCCTTTAATCTACCTTCCTTCATTCTCTCTTCTCCTATATCCCTGTTGATCGAAAGGTATATCTACAACTATCTGTATGTTTTTTCCCCTCTGATCAGTTCAGATGGGTGTGAAGTTATTGGGACACTGCTATTTCAAGGCTCTTGGGTTTGGTATTCTAGAATATTTCCTTTGGGTTTTTGAGGAGTGGTGGTAGTGATTTTTGGGATTGGACTTTGAGGAAAGAGGAGTTGGGACTTTTAGGAAGGATAAGTAGTATTTGGATAGGGACTATAAAAGCATAGGATGTAGACCCAGAAAGAGCTTAGAGCCTAGTCCAATTCCCTTTATAAATGAGTAAACTGAGGACCAGAGAGGTGGTTGTATTGCTCACAGTCATATGGGAAGCAAGAATTAAAACCCAGTTATTTCCATTCCAAATCCAGCATTCTTTTTATTCCACAGTGGATTCAGCAATTTATAGTAAGGAAAAGGATAACAAGGGCCCAATCCCTGATCTAGTCTGTACTGGAAAATAAGTAAACAAACAAACAAACAACAAATGGATTAATAAATAAATAAACCTGTTTTGTAGGATCCTAAGATTTTAAGTTGGCCTAGGGCCATTTAGTCCAACCCATAAACTGAGACTAATATGTAAATGATTTGCCTAAATTAAAATTGATATCATCTAACTCTGAACTAACCATCTAAATTCTACCATTTAACTCTAAAGCCATTTTGGCCTTACACTTTATTCTCTCTCCACATACTTTACTATCCAGCGACACTGACCTCCATCTCAGGACTCCATGATCTTTCTGATGGCTGTTCCATTTGCATGGAATGTACTCCCCTCCTCACCTCAACTTCCTGGCTTCCCTGGCCTTCTCATCTTAAATCCTACCTTCAGCAAGAGGTCTTTCCAGGTGTCCTCTCTCTTCCCACACCAACACACACTCTGCTAGTGCTTTGAGATTGTTTTCCATTTACACTATATTTTGTATGCATAGAGTTGTTTACGTTTTCTAAGAGAAACGTGAGCACCTCTAACACAAAGGATAACGAAAGTTAAGTTCTGGGACACTTTAAAAATAGATGGGGCCATGTGGCAACATCTCCAGGTCAACAAGTAAACAACCAAGTATTACGCACTTATAGTATATGTATGTATTGTGCGCAATTCTAAGGATACAAAGAAAGGCAAAAAACAGTCTAAGTCCTCAAGAACCTTCAATCCTTTTTTTTTTTAGGCAATTGCGGTTAAGTGACTTGTCCAGGATCACACAGCTAGTAAGTGTCTGGTCTGAGGCCGGGTTTGAACTCAGGTACTCCTGACTTGAGGACCGGTGCTCTGTCCATTGCGCCACCTAGCTGCCTCAAGACACTTCAATTCTTAAGGCAGAGATAATATGCAAACAATTGAGTACCAACAAGATACATGCAGGGTAAATTAGAGAGAATCTCAGAGAAGATACTTAACATTGTGAGGGATCTGGAAAGGCGTCTTGCTGAAGGTGGGATTTTAGCTGAGACTTTAATTTTTTTTTTTGGCTAGTTAATAGGGTTAAGTGACTTGCTCAGTGTCACGCAACTAGTATGTGTCAAATGCCTGAGGGTGAACTTGAACTCGGGTCCTCCTGACGCCACCTAGCTGCCCCCTAGCTGCTAAGACCTTAAATATGCTAGGAGTAAGAGGCGAAGAGGGAGAGAATTACAATCATGGCGCGGGGAAGCTAGTGAAAATACAAGGAGGGAGAGGCCGTGTTCTGTTGGAGGAACAACAAAGAGGTCAGGGTCTCCACCAGGAATCTCTTTAATAAGCAGTCATTAAAAAAATGAACTTAACATCAACAAAGATGAATATTTAAATAGTCAAAGAACAGGAAAAGAGGATTGCATATGAAACATTCTCAATTACATAGTAAATTTAACACCCGGATACCAACTCTGTCCTGGGTTTGTGTCCCCTTCTGGCCTTTCTTTCTGCTCTCTGCGCATTTTTACAAAACGTGTCCTGGATGCTCTTTTCTTTTTGCATCTCCATCCTACCCACTCCGCCCCAACTCTCTCCCTCCCAAAATAAACCCCCTCCCTTGTTATATAGTTAAGCAGTTCCTTGCCACGCCATTTGTAAAAGTGACTCTTTGGGACACCCCCCCCAAAAAGGGCGCGGGGGAATAATTGGCTCCTTAGCTCCACGCCAAGACCCGGCGGCGGAGGCCCCGGGGAAGGGCAGCAGGAGTTCAGGTGCGGCGGGTAAAGTGCGCTAGGTAAGAACACAAGGTCCGGGGGCTCCTCGGGAGGGCTGAGGTGAGCTTCAAGTTGATTAGATGACCTGAACGGGCTCGGAGACAAGGCTCATTCCCGCCCAGCCAAAAAGCCACGCCACGACAAGACCCTTACCCCTACCCCTGCCCCTTCCCGGAGCCGATCAGCAAAGCCAGCCCTTTTTTGGCCGAGGGTTACTGCGCACGCGCAGAGCCTCGCCCTCAGGTGTATACTCAGGCCGAAACAGGGTATGGAATAGAAGACCATTGGGTTGGGGATGGGGATGGGGATGGGGATGGGGGTGGGGGTGGTGATTTGCGCAGGCGCTGTGCCTCGCTCTCAGGTGTCTGTTGGGAAGTCTTCAGACTTGGGGAGGAAGAGAACGTTTTGGCTGGGCTGAAGGGAGGCGTAGCAGGGTCTTCGTTCCCCTCCCCCACTCCCTCGAGAGACCTCCGCAGAGTCCTCCGGGGAATTAGGTTGTGCATTAGTCTCTAGATAATTAAGGATTCCCCCCTCCCATCTTAGTACTCAGACAGAGTGCCCTGGGACAACCTCTAGAAAAGGGATGATTGAGGCAGAGGCATGGAGAGCAATCTCCTTGGCAGGAACTCGATTTGAGGGTGGGCTGGGTGGGATGCCAGATTTGCCTTTTTTTTTTGGGTGGGGGAGGAAAGCCTATGGGGAGTCAGCTGATGCAGAACAGTAACTACTTTGGAAGACCCCGCAGCCCGAATTATGTATTTTTTGACCTCTTCTGGAATCCTGCTTTTGGCTGTCGAACTCTGGCGTTTTAGCCTTGCTGGGTCGGCATTGTATGGGACTATCACGAGGATTAGCTGTTCCCCTGTAATTAAAGTTTCCTGCTGGAAGTTTTCCCCGCTTAACCCACCTCAATTCTTTAGTCTTAAATCTCTCCTTTTCTATATTATAACGTGTGTGTACGTATATATGTATGTATACACACATTTATAGTGAATAAGAATTGAACAAATGGAACGTTAGCTTGGAAGGGACATTAAACATGGTCCAATTCCCTCTCATTTTACAGTGAAGCAACTAAGACTCAGAGACTGACTTGATCATTGAGTTCACAAAACCAGAAGTAGAACACAGGTTCTTGAGCTCCCAGCCCGAGTATCTTTCCACTGCACCTGCCTATATGATACAGTTCGGGTTGATATCTCTCAGGCTCCCTGAGATCAGAAATAAGGACCGAATTAGTTTTTTCCCTCAAGCATAAGCAGCACTAAGTTTCCAGGTGGTGCTGGGTACAAGACAAAAGTTCCCTCTTCTGTTTTATGACTCAGCTCTAAGGACCAAGGTAGCTTAGTGCGGTTCTCAAAAGCGCTGCGTAAAGGCGCTAAAAGGGAACCCAGCTGGCCTAACGGAGGCTAACATTTGTTGTAAGCCTCAACATGATAGACGGAAGGCGGCCCCCAACACCAGCGCACACGTAGGCTAAGTTCAGGCTCGGTAGGAGCCCCGGGCTTTCCGAGGTGACCATAGGCCTTTCCAGTACCAGGCAACCCTTCCCTCAGGCCAGCTTGCCTCCTTTCCTGAAACTGCACCACCCTTGCATTTCATGGGTTTCCACGGCTCCGGGGGACACAAACAGGAGGAGGAGGAGTAGGTCGAGGAGGAGGCCGGGAGGGAAGGAGGGAAGGAGGGAGGGAGGGTGGAGGAGTGAGCTCAGCCAGTAGGGGGAGGGGTCAGAGATCGAATCTCCAGCCCAGACTGCCAGCCAGTCCAGCACTGTGCTGGGACACAGCGCCACGGCGAGACCGATCGGAAGAGCCCCCTACCCCTGCTTCCAGCATCCTCAGCCTTCCCCAGGCCAGGATCCAACATGACGGACACCTTGCCGCCCCCGGCCGGCCGACCCTTGGAGGAGGGGGAATGCTATTTCCGAAAGGTGGGCTGCTCGGGGATTCGGGGTTGGGGAGGGAAGGTGTGGGGTGGGGATGGGGTGGAGGGAATTGTGACGACTTTAGGTGAGTTGGGCTCCTACTTGGGCTCTGGTGGTGCCACGTCCCGGGCAGGTGCAGTGTGTACCAGTCCCGGGAAAGCCTCGGAGCCCCTCGCTCCAGGCCCCCAAAGCTGCTCAGCGCCCTATAATCTCCCGGGTCAGTGCGAGGAAATGGACGATGGAGATTTAGCCTGTCTGAACTGGAGTTTGTTCTGGAGAGGAGTCCCTTCCCCTCCCTCCCTTTGCTTCCCACTCTTTTCCTGGCCTTTATTGGAGACGTGTGGATCCCATGAGGTCGTGGGGAATAGGGATGTGCTGCAGCAGGAACTTTTTTGGAGTTTAAACCCAACGTCGAAGGATTGCTTAAGCAGAGGAGTAGATGTTAGAATGATGAAATGAGGTGATTCTGAAGGCAACTCGATAGAGCATTGAGATTTGAGGAGTTGGCTAAGGACAGGACAATAGTGGTGGTTTAGGATTTAAAGAGGGGAGAAACTCTTCTAATGGTCAAATTACCTGTAGCATTCTAACCTTGGGAGTTCATTGGTGATTTCCCACACCACCAGTTTAAGCAGGTGTTCCTTCAAAAAGTTATATGAGTTCAGATGGAAACAACAGAATACTTTTTCTCAGCCCCGAAGAAATGAGTTGACAAAGGATAAATTAATATGAAAATTTCATTTGACATTTGCATTAAAATTTCATTTTCCTCAGTAAGTATTTGAGAATTGTTTTGACCAGATAGATGTTTTCTTTGTAAAGAGCAGAGAGGGGAAAAGAGTAGACAGTGTCCTCAAATCATTGCCAATGAATTTTGTACTTATTTGGAAGTTATTTGTTATTATTTTTACTTATAAAACCCTAGCAAAGCAATTTGTTACAGTATTTCTCACTTTGGGATATGCTATTAGAGTTGGTACAATGGATTTAAGACAGATTTAAGTTAGGGAATACTACTGTAGTTTTATGGCAGGTCATTTAACCTTTAGAGGCTTCAGTTTCTCTAACTGCAGAATGAGGAGCCTACATTAGATGATTTCTAAGGACCTTTCCAGCTCTAAAATGGTATCATTCTATGACTTTGTGAAAGTGCTGAATTAGGGAAACAAAGCTCAGGGAGACTTTGAATCCAAGTATCAAATCTGATTAAGAGAGGGCAGTCAGGTTTCAGTGTGGGTGTTAAAGGCAGTAATTTTTTCCCACTTCCACAATTTATATGAATACTAATTTCATTTGCCTTTCAGCAATTCTGCATTAGCAATTATGAACCATGTGTGATTATATAGCATGCAGGAGACTGGAGTGAACCAGGATTATGGGTCATATTTCCTTGAGAAATATAAGGGTCAGTTCTGAACTAAAGTTTTGCCAACTACACCATTAGTATTTATTACCTTCCAGCAGGGTGCATGGTACTTCCAGGCAATTTAGAGAGCAGGGAGAAGACTTGCCTATTCCAGAGATAATGATTAGGCAATAGAGATTTGGATGATGCAATATCCAAATAAGTTTAAGTAGGCCGGACCTACTATAGAAAAGATACACAGTTACAAAATTTGGTTTTAGAGGCCCTTTTTCTATTTTGATCATTGTTCCGAGATAATATGGTTCAGGGATAAAAGATATTGGGTAGAAGTGATAAGGTATTAGGATGACACATATTACTACTTCAGCTCTTTTCAGGTGAATCCAAAAATACCTCTTCTGGAACTTTGCCAGTGATGACTAGGTTGGTTGAGTGGTTGTTATTATTTTTTATAGCTTTCTGGGTAGAGTATATAATTGGAAATAGGGAAGTGAAACTTTGTTTCTCACTGTACAGTCAGCTGTCAGCTATTCAGGGTCTAATTATCCAAACCTCTTCCTACTCCTTTATGATCCCTATCTTTGAGCTTTTTTTTTTTTGAACTGTGAAGTAACATCTCAAGAGAGGAAGAATAAAATAGTAGAAAGAAGGCTGGCTGTGAAGACAGAAATACCTGGTTCCAAGTCTTGCTTCCTCTGTGTTTGTATGTACATATATACACACACACACACATATTTACATAATCATATATGTGTGTGTGTGTGTGTGTGTATATATATATATATATATATATATATACATTCATACACACGTACATGGGCAAGAGAATAACTCTCACTGCCCCAGGCAGTTCTGTATGTCTGTATGTAGTAGCTCAATTGCTGTACTGTATCAATACAGGTAGAGGTTTCTATGCCAGAAGTTCGCTACATAAATGAAATCACAGATGTGGACTTAAACAAAAAGCAAAAAAAAAAAACACAGAAAAGGATGGGCAAGAGGTCAATTACCGCTTAACTGGCTAAATCCAATGACCTAGTTTCAGTCTTCATACTCTGACTTCTGAAAAGCTTTTGACACCCTGCAGTCACCCCACCCCTCTTCTCCTAGATACTCTCTTCTCCTTTGATTTCTGTGACACTGCTCTCTTCTAGTTGACAGGCAAGGTAGAAAGGTGACATGATCTGGTGTCAGAGGACCAGCATGAAAAGACCAGTGAAAAGAACACTGACTTGGGTCAGAGGAACTGGGTTCACATTAACCTTCCTGGCCCTTATATTCTACATGTGTAAAATAAGGGAGTTGGACTGGATGGTCTCTGAGGTCCCTTTTCAGTTTTAACTCAATTATACAGTTTTCCTCTCTACATCTTGGGGGGTAGGGCCATGTCACCCTTGCAATCTGGAAAATCTGAGTAAAAATTTTTGGTTCTCCATACCAGAGAAGAAGTCTGAATTATTCTTGTATTAAAAGATAAAATACATTGATTTTTATATACTATACATATATTTTATGCATTTCTGAATTTCTAAACTTTTTCTGTGTTATCTGCTAGCCTTAAGAGTGTCGTCTGAGGCTTCCACAAAACTCCAAAAAAATTCCAATTTAATTTCATATGCCGAGATATATCGAAACAAGATGGGGAAAGTTGCAGTGTGGAAGGGATAATTGTACTATGATCCTATGACCTGGGTTCAAATTCAGCTGCGCTATTTAACCAGTATGACCTTAGGGATTTTTTTCTGTTCTTTAGTTCCATCTTCTAAAATGAGGAGATTGGATTTGATAATCTCAAGGTTTTTTTCCATCTCTAAATTAATGATCTCCCTGTTTGTCTGACTGTTCTTTCTCAGTCTTCTTTACTGGCTTATCATCCATCTCCTGCATGCTAAGTGTAGATGACCTATAAAACTCTGCCTTGGAACCTTTTCTCTATGTACCTGCTTCCTTGGTAATCCCACTACCCTCAAGGATTTGAAGATAAATGTCAAATTCATATGTCCCACTCTAATCTCTGTCTAGAACTATAGTCCAAATCACCAACTTGGTTGCTAAATATCTCTACCTGTATGTGTCTTTGGGAATTCAGCATTCCCAAAACATTTTCCCCTCTAACTCTTCCCCTCCTCTGAACTTTCCCGTTTCCATTTAGGGTGCTACCACTATCTTCCCCCTAACTTATGTTCACAACTTGGGTCAGCCTTGACTGACCCTCTTTCCCTCTCCCAAACCCCATGTAGTCAGTTGTCTAGTTCTGTCATGGGCAGCTAGATGGTTCAGTGGATAATGGCTTGGAGTCAAGACTCATCTTTGGGAGTTCAAATTTGGCCTCAGACACTTCCTAACTGTGTGATCCTGAGCAAGGCACTTAACCATGCTTGCCTCAGTTTCCTCATTTGTAAAATGAGCTGGAGAAGGAAATGACAAACCACTCCAGTATTTTTGCCAAGCAAACCCCAAATGGAGTCACAAAGAGTTGGACACAATGGAAAAATGACTGAACAACAAATTTCTGTCAATTCTCCTTCCATAACATTTCTTCACATCAATTTTCTCTGCACTCACAGGACCACTACCCTAATTCAGACCCATTACCACTTTTACTTGGTTTTAGTAGCCTCTGCATTCATTAATCTCTCTGCTTCTAGTGTCTCCTTTTTCCAATTCATCTTCCACCAAGGTGCCAAAGTAATTTCTAAAGCTCTAAGTAGCTCTCCCCTTTGGAACTGGTTACTACGAATGTGGAAAGTCTCATATGCTGTCAGACATGATTGATGTGTTGAAATTCTTTGTTTTTTCTTAAAAAAAAAACTTTGTTACAAAGGATGGCTCCCTGGGGAGGGGAGAAGGGAGGACTATATTCAGAAATGAAAGATAGATTTAGACACTGGAACTTTGATTTCACTGGTATAGGGAACTCCTGGCTGAGGAAATTGCCTCTACCATTGTGGTATGGCACTTTCTCTGAAACATAGGGATTTGCCTAGAGCACTGAGACATTAAGTGATTTGCCCCTGGGGTCACACATCGAGAATGTGCCAGAAATTGGAATTGGATTGCAATCCAGGTCTTTGTGATTTCAAGGCTGGCCCTCTATCCACTACACAATGAAGTCTCAGATACAAAATAAATCTAAAATAAACTAGGAGGATGAGAATGAGAAGTTCTGAAACGCATTTTGACTGTTTAAAACTTACATGATCTTGGGTAAGTCTCAGTCTCTCTGTACCTCATTTTTCTCATCTGAAAAAAAATGACAGAATTGGACCAAATGATATCTAAGGGTCCTTGAAATTCTAAATAAAAGAATCTGAGCAACATGGCACAATAGAAAGAACACTGGACTGGGAGTCAGGAGGTCCACATACTCATTCTGACTCTACCACTAAATGTTATGTGACTGGATACAAATCACTTTATCTTCCTGAGGCTCAGTGTCCTCATCTGTGACATGAAAAAAGTTAAATTCTGTGATCTTTAAGGCACCTTTCAAGTCTGACATTCTATGCCTATAGACCATAAGATCATAAATTCAGAGGTAGAAGGGACCTCAGAAAACGTCTAGTGTGACTCATCTTTTTGAAAAGATTTTACAAATAGGTCACAGTTCAATTCAGCAAGTACTATACTGTACTAGGTA